GGATGATGGGGACGGCGTGGAGGAAGAGCAGCAGGGTGGACCCCGCAGCACAGCGGTCGAAGAACCGGGGCATCTGCTTGACGCCGCAGGGCTCACCCCGCTGGGGTGGCCCGCCGTGCGCGCCGCGCCACGCAGTACAGCCCTCGTGCTACCAGAAGCCACGCTGAAGAAGGAGCGAACGGGCTTTTCTGGCCACGGCTGGCCTCGGCCACGACTAGGTGGGCCCGACAGCCAGGGCCCCTCCCTGAGGCCAAGGTGGTCCTTGCTTCAGCGTCTCGTCTGTACCAGGATGCCCAGGAGCTCACCGGGGTGTCGGCTGCGGAGCGGGGGTGGAGGAGAAGGTGAGGCGGTGGCGGCGGCGAAGCGTCACCAGGGCCGACGAAGAATGCCCTACCGAGATGGTGGGGCTATTCCCTCCGAAGGCACAGGGCCACTCAGCGAAGTTTGGTAACGAATCGTTGAGCCGTGCTGCAGCTTCCCCACGAGCATCGCAGCCCTCCCCCTCTGAGCAGCAGCCAGACAAGGCGGGTTTGCACCATCATGCCAGAGATAATGAGGACGCGGGGGAGGGGGAGGGGTCGCCTTTGGCCTCCCGGGGCTGCCTGGAGTGTCTTGGAGCCTTCTGGAGCCTCCTCCTGGGGCTTCCGGGGGCATCCTGGAGGTTCTCGGGGTCTCCTGGGATCTCCTGTGTCCTCCTGGATCCAGGAGGATGAGGAGGAGGGAAGGAGAGGCGGGGAGGAGGAGGCGGAGGATGAAACGAGAGTAGAGAAACGATTGAACAAACTGCAGGCGCCTATGGCTGGCCGCGCTCGGAGACCAGCCAAATCATCAGCAATTACAAACAAGGATCCACGTCAGACTGTGACTCCGGCAGGCTGGGATCTGGTTGCGGGCCCAATTGGCTCTCCACCGCCAGACTCAAAACTGACTCCAGCGTGACCTCCACCGTCGAACACAACATTGGCAAAACGGGGGAGGGGGAGGAGGGAGGGGAGCGAAACGGCACCGAGGGGCCCACTGGCACTCGAGCGCACCCGCATCCTGGAGGCGCGGAACTATCAGTCGAAATGAGTCCAGGCGGCGGGGACTGCTCTGCCCCCTCCTCCTCTTCCTTCTCCTCCTCCTCCTCCCCCTCCTCCTCCTCCCTCCTCCTCCTCCTCCTCCTCCTCCTCCTCGTCCTCGTCCTTGTCCTCGTCCTCGTCCTCCTCTTCCTCATCCTCCTCCTCCTCCTCCTCCTCCTCCTTCTCCTCCTTGACGGCGCCACGCTCTCCAGGTGGTCTGTGCTGCTCGGCCAGAGAGAAGGACAAAGAGGAGGAAGGCGCAAGCAGTCGACGACGAAGGCGCAGGCGGGAGGCCATGCCCGGGCTGGTGGGACGAGGCAGGAGGAGGAGGAGGAGGAGGAGGAGGAGGAGGGGGAGGAGGAGGGGGAGGAGGAAAGGAGGAGGAGGAGGAGGAGGAGGGAGCAGGAGGAAGAGGACGAGGAGGAGGAGGAGGAGGAGGGAGGAGGAGGAGGAGGGAGGAGAGGAGGAGGAGGAGGGGAGGAGGAGGAGGAGGAGGAGGAGGAGGAGGAGGAGGAGGAGGAAGGAGGAGGAGGAGGAGGAGGAGTAGGAGGAGGTGGAGCGTAGCCGAAGAGGAGGAGGAGGAGGAGGAGGAGGAGGAGGAGGAGAAGGAGGAGGAGTAGGAGGAGGAGGAGGAGGAGGAGGACGAGGACGAGGCGGAGGAGGCGGAGCAGGAGGAGGGGGAGGAGGCGGGCAGGAGGGGACAGGTGGGAGACAGCAGGCCAGGAGCAGAAGCGAAGGAGGCGAGGGAGGAGGAGCAGTGGGGGCAAAGGAGGGAGGGAGGGAACGAGACCGTGAGCACACGGGCCGGGCCAGGGGCCTGGAGAGATGGGCCGCCCACGACGAGAATGCGGCCACTATGGCGGCGACGCCGACCAGGCGGCAGCGCAGGCGGAGCGTCGGAGTTGTCGGGGGGCGGGGTGGTTGCCGGGGTCGCCGGGGCGGCGGGGGTCGTCGGATATGACAGAGTCGTCGCGGGATTGGTCGTCCAGGGTGGACCGGAGCGAGCTGCCGCGTTGTGGCTTGGTCGGCAGGGGCCGTTTCGGGCAAAACCTTCCGCCCCACCGGAGCCCGCCCGCCACCAGCCCGTGGGAGAGGGACCTCCCGCGTTGTGGCCTGGCCATCGAGAGGGACCCTGTCTGGTAATGCTTGCCGCCCTGACGGGGCGCTCATGCTGTCCAGCGAAGCTGGCGGGGGGGCGGGCGGAGGGGTGCCTCGGCCAGAACCGGCGACGCGACACGCGAAGCCAACATCCCTGACCGTAGGGGCCTGGGCGTACCCGTGCAGAGAGCCTCGGGGCAGCCTCGCAGCCGCAGGCTGGAAGGCGGCTCGAAGGTCTCCAGTCGGACGGGGGGTGGCCCACGAAGAAAAGAGCCGTACATGGGGCCTTTCAGGGCCCTTTTTGAAGCCAGCTGGGGGGGCCCTGAAACGGCCCTGAGGGGCCCCTTTAGCGCCCTTTTCTTCATGTGGGCCATACCCCTTACCACCCGCCCGATCCAGGCCCAGGAGTGGCTTCCGGGGGGAGCGGTAGGCCTCTCGAAGGGCCTCGTTTGACCCAGCGCGGCTCGGGGTCGGCCCCCTCGGAGTGGACGAGTGTGGGGGGGGGCAGAAAGGGGGGGGGGGGGCGGGCGGAAGCAGCATGCAGCTGCTCTTCCTTGCGCCTGGAGGCGCTGACTGTGCAGGAAAGGCGCTTCCAAGCTCTATGAGCACAGTGGCGCCTTTGGCGGCGAGGAGCTCCTCAGCGAGAGGATAAACCCAAGAATGGGGAGGACGGCCAGATGATGAGGGAGGCGCCCTGCAGCGGAGCCGAAGCCAACTGCCCCCCCCTGTTGGCCTCTCTCCTCCGAACTCCCGCCCGTCGCCCCTTCCCCCTCCGCTCCGAGACTCCGAGATTCCTTCGCCGTTTTTCCCCCGACTCCTCCCCTCTCCGCCTTGTGAATGGGAGCGTCATGGGGGGACCGGCTCAAGGGGCTTACATCGACATGGACTCGGCGACGCATCGTCGATAGGTGGGCGATAAGCTCCCGACAGCAGAGCAGAACCCCACATTCCTGGGCGGGCTTTGTCAGCGATCAGTAGGCGATTGGCAGTCGATCCGTCCCCCCCTGAGTCTATCACCCTCTGAGTTGCCCCTGACTCTGGATCCCCCCAAGAGATCCGAGACCCCCGTGCCTGGCTTCGGACTTTTTGTTCCAAGGGCAGCTCGGAGCTGTCTCACTGACCGGCGCAGCGAGGCGGCGCGAGAGTGGGAGGGCGAAGGGTAGCGGGACGCCAGCTATGCACCTGCACCGGCCCTGGCCAGGCTCATCGAGCGCCGAGGCGGGGTGCCTGCGCCCTTCTGGCTTGGGCAGGAGGGCAGACACGACCATCTTAGGACGCAGCTCCTGGGTGGTCTTCGCAAAAACGCATGCGGGCGATCAATCCCGATTCAAGTACCATTACGCCAGAGCAGGTCGGCTTAACACGGCCATTTAAGCAGACAGCGGGATTATACCCGAATGTGCCGGTTTTGGACAACGGGCGCCAGTGCTGAATTAAACCCCCAGGAGTTGCCTCTGAATCATTCTGCGCCCAAGGGTTGTGTCTACCTACGCCCGCCTGGCACAAGCAGGAGGGTGTACGCAACGATCATGGCCCTGGATCGGCCTTGCCAGGATCGGTGCATTAGGAGGCGAATTCTGAGAGGTCCCCGTAATAACGATAAAATTACCCCAGTGCGACCCTACCTAGAAGTTGGAGCCCCTAGGAAAGCAGCATTAGTTGCTATGCTATGCTATGCTATGCCATGCTATGCCGCGCTATGCTGCGCTATGCTATGCTGTGCTATGCTATGCTATGATATACCATGCTATGCCATGCTATGATATGCTAAGCTATGCTATATCATGCGGCGCTGTGCTATGTTAAGCTATGCTATGCTAAGCTGCGCTATTATATGCTATGAATTGTTATGATATGCTATGCTATGCTGCACTATGCTATGCTATGCTATGCTATGCTATGCTATGCTATGTTTGGCTATGCTATGCTATGCTATGCTAATGCAGCGCTGCGCTGTGCTAATATAAGCTAAGCTACGCTAAGCGAACCCTCTAGGCAGAGCCTAGATAAGGAATTACACCCATGCTAATGCTTTGCTTTGCTGTCGCTGCTGTTGCTTTGTCCTTGCTTTGTCGTTATGCTATCATATGCTCTGCTATGCTATGCTATGCTGCGCTGCGCTGTGCTGTGCTGTGCTGTGCTGTGCTGCGCTATGCTATTTGCTATGCTATGCCATGCTGCGCTATGCTATGCTATGATAGGCTATGCTATGATATGCTATGCTGCGCTATGCTATGCTACGCTATGCTATGCTATGCTGTGTTCTGCTAAAGCTCAGCGAAGCTAAGATGAAGGTAAGCTAAGCTAAGATAAACCTGAGCTAAGATGAAGCTAAGCTAAGCTAAGATGAAATAAGCCAAGCAAAGATGAGTTAAGCGACGCTGAGCTAAGGGGACGCAACTGGGGGAACCGCGGGGCGGATCCTGGGGGAACCGCCCGGGGCGGGCAACACTGCCCGGCCCCTTCAAGCTAGAGGGTAAGAACCCTTCGAGGCAGCGCCTAGGTAGGGAACAAATGTTAGCCCGATTACGGGGCGATTCGGCTGGATTCACGCGAGCGAAGCCCACTATCAGAGGTCTTCTCAAGAACGACTGAAACAAATTTGCCCGATTACAAAGCGATTCCGCTGGATTCGCCCAAACGAAGCACAAGGTAAGGCCAGATACGCCGGAGCAGGCCTGGTCAGGCGAAACTGATAAGGATCCTGCCGAAGTTGGCCAGTCTTCGCCCAGGAATAAACCAGAGCCGATGCCGAACTTGACCTCCCAGGAGTTGCATCCCGAGGTGCAGGCGTATAGCGCAGGTGCCCTCCGAAGGAGTCCGGGGGAGGAGGGGCCTGGCGCAGGATCCCGCGGGCGACCCAGCCTACTCGTCGTCGCCGTCCTCTTCGACCGCCGCGGCCTGCACCGCCACGGTGTCCAGCTCGCGCTGGCCCTCCTTCGTGATCTTCCGGCCGCCGTTCTCGTCCTTTTGGATGACCCCAAAGTTGGTCCAGCTAAAAGGGGGTGGTGCAATAGGTTTGGGGCAATTGTATTGCAAATGCATTGCGCCAGAGAATTGTATTGCATTGTTTTGCAGCTAACGTAGTGCACGCGAAAACCCAGCAATACATTTGCGCACCGGAACGTAGTGCACACCCCGAATCTATTGCAACCCTACACATATACTGCACCAAATCTACTGCACCATCCCCTTTTCGCTGGACCCCCTTCTGAGTCAACCAGAGTCCTGCTCCACCAGGCCCATCTCCTCCAGCTGCTGCAGGACGTACCTCCCGGGAGGCGGGAGCCCATGCGCCAACATCACGCCTTTGACACGGCCATGCTGGGCCTCTCGGGGTGGCATGCAGTCCTGGGGCCCAGGATGCTCGGGATGGCCCTGGCAAAGGGTGGTGGTGGTGTATGCGCAACTGCCCCCTGGATACCTGGCGATCTTTCCGGACCCCTTGGAGAAGACGTTGGTGCAGACGCCACGACGCTTCTGCCCGCCGTAGACCTTGCGGAAGCCACCCACACCAGTACCTGAGCATCGTTGAACTCATCCCTATCCCCACTGGCGTGGCCTGGGCCGCACTGGCCGATTTACCCCTAACGATGGGGATATAGGCTGTTCCCTTCGGGTCTCGAGTGGCGTATCCCCAGCTGGGGGGGTAGGATGGTGGGGCTGAGATGCCATGGCCTGTTGGGGATGGGGATCGGTCAAAAAATACCGGGCACCACCGCGGATGTAGATCTTCCTCACCATCGAGGCGGTGCGGACATAGAGCCAGTCGGGGTCGAGTGGCGGGAGCTCCTTGTGCTTGCTGGTCTTCACGACGTCCGACCACTTCGGTATCTCGAACCTGCCCTGGCGCTTCAGATGCTCGGCGAAAGCCTTGATGAAGGCCGGCGCGTCAACGTCCTTCACTGTCACGATGGCCGTGCCCGCCTGCTCCTTGAAGTAGTCGTCGTACGCGCCGCCGGACATACCTCGTGGTGTAAGCCGCTGTGCAGCGGTGCTGGGAGAGCGCGCGCTTCCGTTTGCCACGCTGGCTTGAGCCAGGCTGGGGGTACGGAAGAGAGGGGCGAGGAGGAGGCCCCAGTCGACTCTGCCCCTGCGGTGGTCCCTCCAGCCGCCTCTGGCGACCAGGATGAATGCAAGATGCGTCAACGATGCTGCAATGCACCCTCCAGTCCCAAGTCTCCTTCTCATCTGTCCCGAGAAGCATTCCAGTACCCTATGGGAAGCGCCCCCCTGGAACACGAACACCCCATGGCGTGCCATTCAGGCGAGACCGCCGCTTGAAAAAGGGACCGCGTTCCGTCTGTCATATACTTCCCTGAGAAGGCAGTGCCATGAGGAGGTGCCCCTGTGCGGAGCAGTTGGCCATAGGCGCGTTGGTGCCCTCTGGTGGGTGCTCTGCGGTTGGTGCCCCATCGCTGGTCGGCGATGGTGCCCCAGGATTGGAACCCTGTGATTGTTTTTTCTCACGTTTCGTGGCCCCATATGGAGCGCCACCGAAAGCCCCAATGGCAGCGCCCCCGTGCGTCCCCGCCCCATGTCGGCATGCCCTTTGCACGCTCCGTGACCCCAGAAGGAGATCCACCGAAGGCGATGCCCACAACGGCGATGATCACAACCGCATACGGTTGGGCCCTTCGCCCAGATGATATTGTTTTCCCATCTACGCCCCCCCCACTGGCCGCGGGCGCCGGCGCGGCGCAGTGCTGTGGCGAGGCCAGTGGGGGGGGGCGTAGATGGGCCCGCCGGGCCGGCGGGCGCGACCGGGCGGCTGCCGCGCCCAGGGCCCCTTGGGTGCGCGACGGCGCCAGCTGCGCCAAGCCCCCCGCCCGCGCCGCCCGCGCGGCGGGGTGGAGGAGGGGTGGTTGGTGACCTCCGTGGTTGGTGCCATACGATTCCCCTGTGGCTGGTGCCCTGTGGTGCCGTACGTCCGGTGCCCCTGCTGTCGGCGGCCGACGTCTCTGCCCTTGACCTGCCCAGCGCGGGAGCACTATTTCCCCATTCAGGGCTTCCCCCTGTAGGGGTCCTAGCGGATCCATATGGTTAGGTAATGCTTGCCACCGATTTCCGCGGCCCGCCCGGGTGACCCCCGGGTGCCCAGGTGCCCGGTTGCTCAGGTGCCCAGGTGCCCGGGTGCCTTATATAGCCCTATAGTCCTATAGCCCTATAGCCCTATAGCACTATAGCCCTATAGTCCTATAGTCCTATAGCCTTCTAGCCCTATAGCCATACAGCCCCATAGCCTCATGGCCCTATAGTTCAATCGCCCTATAGCCCTACAGCCCTATAGACTTATAGCCCTATCACCCTATCGCCCTAGAGCTCTATGGCCTGATAGCCCTATAGCCCTGCGGCCCTATAGCCGAATAGCCCGATCGCACAATCGCCCTAGAGCCCTATAGCCCCATAGCCCTATAGCCCTATGCCCCTATAGACCTATAGCCTTATAGAAAGTTTGCCCTATAGCCCTACAGCCTATAGCCCTATAGCCCTGTAGCCCCATAGCGCTATATCCCTATAGCCCTACATCCCTATAGCCCTGTGGTTCTATAGCCCTATAGCCCCATAACCCCATGGACTCATAGCCTTATGGCCCTATAGCCCTATAGCCCCAGAGCCCTATAGCCCCACAACCCTATAGCCCTATGGCCCTACAGCCCTATAGCCTTCTGGCCATATAGACCTATAGCCCTATGGCCCTATAGCCCAACAACCCCATCGCCCCATCGGGCGGGCGCGGTATCATAGCAACGTCGACAACGGCAGACACGACGATGATAACAGCGAAGGCGGGGGCGGGGGTGACGATGACGATGCCAGAAGCCAAAAACAGCGCCGATGTTGATCACGCCAGTGACGATGATGGTGTCCACGTCTCGGCGGGGAAGGTTTTGCAAGATTTCGACATGCTCGCGCTGCCGACGGGCGCGATTGGCCCGCATGGTGTGATCACTTGACAAGGATCGCCCCCCCCCCTCCCCCGAGCACGCGCGCAAACGCGTTTGATTGATCTCGACACGCGCGCGAGAGATGCACTGTTGGTCGCATTTTACGAACATGGTGCAATTCGATTTGCAAGACCCACGCGGCGGCAATTGCGATGACTGCTTGGCGCTGGCTGGCGCATCGCTGCGGCCGTGCTAGCGCGCGCAGGCTCGCGCGCAAAGCGGCCAACTAGCCTGGCGCCACCGACGCAGCGGCGGTGACGATGACCGCTGGGCACTTCCCTGCGCGTCTCGCAGGCCGCGCTGACTCGCGAGCACTGCCGTGCGAGTCCGTGACTCGGGCGGGCGCGCTGTCGTGGCGACGTCGACAGAGGCAGACACCATGATGTTTGTAGCGATGTGTGTGACGACGATGACGGTGATGAATGGTGTCCGCGTGTCGGTGAGGAAGGTTGGCAAACAAAGCTTCGACATGCGCGCGCAGAAGACGGGCGCGATTGTATTATCTGACATGGGTCGGCTCCCCCCCAACATGCTCGCAAGGGCGTTCGCATGCTTTTGGCATGTGCGCGTGCGAGACGCACTTTCGGTTGAACTTGATGAACATGTTCAACAATACATGGTTTTCTTAAGAATTTGACAAAACGCGCAAACCGTTTTATCCGCCACCGTGCTTCTCTGCACGGAGTGGGCGTGTCCTCAGATCCTTTGCCAAATCCTCTCTGAGCCTCAGTCCTCAGTCCTGAGAAGTAAGTCAATTAGGGGCCGGGGGCTCGAATTGCCAAATCTCCCCGGTCTCGTCCCGGGGTGGCGCGTGATTTTTTGGGGCCCAAGAGGTCCCCAACATGGGCTCAGAGGTCCCCAAGAGGAACCCAAAACGGCACAAGAGGGCCACGAAAAGCCGAAAGATCGCTCCAAGACGCCCAAGATGGCCCCAGGCTGGCCCAAAGAGCCCCCCAAACATCCCAAGAGGCCTCCAAGAGGCCTCCCAAGAGGGCCCCGAGAGGCCAACATGATTGATTTCCCTTTGGTGTTTGATCGATTTTCGCGTTCTCGCTTTGTCGGCTTTCCCACGTTCCAAACAGGCCCAAGAGGCACCCGGGACCACCCAAAGACGGCCCAGGCGGCCCCCAAGAGGGCCCCAAAACCGCCTAACAAGAAGGCCCACAGACGGCCCAAGAGCCGGCCAAGCCGCGCCAAAAGGGCCCCAAGACGGCCCCCAAACGGGCCCCAGAGTGGGACCAGGAGTCGAAGAATCTAGCGCTCCGGCCCAAGAAGCTATCAGGAGGCCCCAAGAGGCGCCCAGGAGGGCCCAACCAAGAGGCCCCCAAGAGGCCCCAAGACGCCCCCCAAGAGGTCCAAAAGAGGCCCCAAGAGGCACCCAGACGGCCCCCAAGAGGCGTCCACGCTGCCTCCAAGAGGCCCCTGAGAAACCCCCCACGAGATCCCAACGAACATCCAATAGGCTTCATACCCACAACCCAGGCACGGTGGCGGGATGGGTCGAAGGCCATTATATGCATACATCTGTGTATATATACATATATAATGAATGTATGTATGTCTGTCTGTATGTATATATGCATGTGTATGCGTATATACAGATATGTACCTATACGTTGCAAAAACAACAGATGTTCTTGAGACGCTCGATGTGCAACATCCTTGTGGCACCCACAGTTGTTGAAGGATTTCAGCATGCGCGCGCGACGACGCGCGAGTGCACTTCGTCTTCTTTTTTGCAACGGGCCTTTGAAGGTGATTTTTGATAAACGCGTGTGCGCGCAAAGAATCCGTTGCAGAGGATTTTGGGGGGGAGGTCGATACCAGCTAGGCTGGGATGGTGTGAATTCACAGGTAGAACGAGCGATAGGCCAGAATCGCATGTAAAATGCACATCCCCAAAGGGGAGCAGTCATCTCTGCTCTCGGGAGGGTGGTGGGGCTTACTTTCTGACTCCCTCTCTCTGTCTCTTCCTCTCCCTCTCTTTCCTCTCTCTCTCTCTCTTTTCTTGTTTTTTGCCTCTCTCTCTCTCCTCCTTATAACAGCAAAATGTTACGACTGGCGGCGACGAGGCGGCGACAGCGGCAACAAACAATATTACCGATTTGTAAAGCTGGCAACCGTGAAGATGGCGCACCCCATAAAACCTGCAAGGAGCGAAAGGAAATCTTAGCCGAGAGACACAATGTGACAAAGGCGAAAGCCTCACTTTGATCACGGCCCGCCCTCCACTTGCGACGCTGTTATGCATGTCGTAGTGCACAACAGAAAAAACGGCGGGGAAACCTCGAGCGCCACGCCCTGCCCGCCCTACTGGCGCGTCTTATAGTGGTGAGTGAGACGAGGAGAAGCCATATCAAATGACGAAGGGTTGGGGGCCTCGTCATCGACGTGATCCTTCTCCTCTCTCCTCCGATGAGGCTCCCTACAGCTTCAAAGTCACCTCCAGGGACCGTTCAAATTCCTTCTCCTCCGCCTCGCCCTTCTCGCCCGTTCCGCCTCCTCCTTGCACCTACTCCCTATCCCTTTCATCCTTTCCTCGGGACATTCGGGTTCAAACAAAGCTTGGATGCCCAGACAAACCCCTAAACACATTCGAAAGTATTCGAGAGCACGTTTCCCCGATATCAGCAAATCTTCTTCATCGCACCATGCGGCCCTGACAATTCGCAAACCCAACAGGTTAAAACTACCAAGAATTACACGAACCGGAAGTGGATCGTTAGCTGTTCCAGCAGTTCGGCGCATGGACACCGCGCCGGCGACGACGGCGGCGACGGCAACGACGACGACGACCACGACGATGACGACGGCTACGACAATGATGACGGCAAGGACGACCCGGACGATACGGACGACCGCGACCACGACCACGCCGATGCGGACGCCGACGATGACGACGCCGACGACCACCAGCACCACCACCGCCACCACGACCACGACCTCGACGACGACCACCAACACAACCACGACCTCGACGATGTTGACTACGACCTCCACGGCGGCGATGCCGACAGCTCCGACGGCGATGGCCAACGGCGCCTGGAGCCTCTGCCCGGCCTGCTCCAGCAAGCGCCGCCGCGCCGAGCGGGAGCGCGACCTGGAGTGGGGGGGGTTCAGGAGGATGGATGGGGGGGAGGAGGAGGAGGAGGAGGAGGAGGAGGAGGAGGAGGAGGAGGAGGTGGAGGAGGAGGAGGAGGAGGAGAAGGAGGAGGAGGAGGGAGGAGGAGGAGGAGGAGGAGGAGGAGGAGAGACGAGGAGAAGGAAGAGGAGGAAGGAGGAGAAGGAGGAGGAGGCGGAGAAGGAGGAGGGAGGAGGAGGCGGGAGGAGGAGAGGAGAAGGAGGAGGATGAGGAGGAGGAGGAGGTGGAGGAGGAGGAAGAGGAGGAGGAGGAAGAGGAGGAAAAAGAGGAGGAGGAGGTAGAGGGAGGAGGAATGAGGGGGAGGGAGGAAGGAGGAGGAGGGATGAGTGACCAGGGGGAGGGGGCGTCAGGGAGGAAGAATGGGGAAGAGGAACGATGAGGAGGGAGGCGCCACGACGCGACGAGACGCGAGCGCGTGCTGCGGGAAATCGCTGGGGGCCGGAAGCTGGAATCGGAGTGCGGGAGCTGGGGATCGCAGTGTGGAGGCTAGACGCTGGGCGCGTGAGATTTGGGAATCGAGAGGAGGAGGGAGGAAGGATGAGAAGGGAGGAGAAGGGAGGACAATTTCCGAACTTCAGGGCAGAGGGTGCACGGTGCTCGCCCGCGGACCCGACTGCCTTCAACTTCAGAACCTGCGGGCTTTCTGGGCCGCCGCCCATCTGGCGTCATGGATGAAGAAGGACCTCCGTTCAGATGCAACTTCTTGGATGTCTTCGTAGGAACAACTCTTCAACCTTAAAAAAAACGAAAAGGGTATCGCTGAGCCAGGCGACGCCGGACTCAGTGGGGGATCGGATCCCCGATTTAGCCTGAGTAAGCGGGACCAGGCGGAATAAAGAGGGACATCTGGAATCATAGCCATCGTGGATTCCAAAGCGCGAGCTATAGGATACTGTGCGGTGTCATCTACGTGGTGCAGGCTATGTGCTGCAAGCTATTTGGTGCAAACTATGTTGCGCGAACTATGTGGTGCAATCTGCGTGTTGCAATCTACGCGGCGCAAGCTATGAGGTGCAAGCTACGTGGTGCAAGCTAGGTGGTGTAAGCTATGTGGTGCAAAATTTTTGTTATGTTTCTCACTGACCACAAAGACGGGCTCGGTGCGCCCGCCCTCGCTGTACCTAGGTTCCTTCGGGAGCCCACAGCCTCAGCCATCTTCCGCCACTCGTTTGAGTGCCAGGCAAAACGCGCAGCGCTAAGAGTATTATCGCGATAGTAATACAAGAGCAAACGACTAAGTGATATCTGAGAGCACCCACTGCTGCAGACAGAAGCTCGCCATCAAACACATACTCATATAGTTCAAGATGCACTGCAAACGTCTGCTCAAATGAGTCAAGGCTCTGTCCGCACGCTAAATGAAACCTCTTCCCATTGCAATGCCCTCAGCAAGCTGAACGAGGCCCTCGAGGCAGACGAGGCGCTGCACCAGCTTCTGTAGCGTCGCTCCCAAGAACTGGTGGTGCATGGGCCCAATTTGCGCCCTGCTGCACGTGGCTGCCAGACGAGCCCACTGCTCGCCCTGGGAAGGGCCCCTCAAGGGCGGATCCTTGCCCCAGGCCGGCTCCCTCGGCTCGTCGGGAAGGCCCTCCGCGTCGGGCCATCTCACGCGCTCGCCCTTCGGCAGCAGCACGTCGCTCTCGAGCCGCCTCTCTGCGTGGCGTCGCTCCCGTACCGCCGCCGCCCGGTCGTGCGCCTCTCGGTTGGCCGCCGGCGTGGCCGACCAGCACTGCCTCGTCCGCGCGATGGCCCCAGGGCCGTCGGGCCCAGCACACCGCCCGTCCGGAGACGAAGCACACGGCTCGGATGGGCCACACTGGGGGGCGACGCAAACGCCCACGCCGCCATCGATGCCACTGCCCATGGCGCCCGCCTCGGCCGCGCCCTCCAGCGGCGCCAGGCCCGCGTGCCCAGCGCGTCCTCCAGCGACGGGAAGGGCGGCACCGCGGGGATGGCGTCGACCTCTGTCTCGACCTCCTGCGCCACCGTCGGCACGGCAGGGCGCCTGGCCTCCCAGGCAGAGGCTCGGGCCTCCTGGAGCTCCTCCGCGAGCACCTCCGCCAGGCCCATGGCGATGTCCAAGTCCTGGCAGTAGTCGAACTGCATATCGAGGAGCTCGGCCGCGGCTTCCTCCAAGAGGTCGTGCAAGCTGATTATGCGGTTGCAAGCTATGTGGTTCAAGCTACGTGTTGCAAGCTATGTGGTGGAACCCACGTGGTGGAAGCTGTATAATGGAAGCTAGTTGGTGCAAACCATGTATAACCGAGCAATGCAAAGCAACGCGAAGCGATGCAAAGCAATGTGAAACAGTGGAAAACAAGGCAACGCAATGCAAAGAGAAAGCGGCGACAAGCGGCGACGAGCCGGCCGGACCGCCACTGGGGCCCAGCGGCGACGGCGACGACGAGCGGCCACCAGACTCGGACCTAGCGGAGAAGAGCGCGACGGGCGGCGACGAGCTGGTCAGAGCGCCCCTGGGGCTCAGAAGAAAAGTATACAAAAACCCCTACATGCAAACACTATATCGTGAATGTTGTCGGTTTTTGCAGAAACGGAAACATGTCGCCGCGCGATTTGGTCTGAACGCGCCCAAGTAGATGAACCCAGCTCTGCGGTAAACTCACGGCACACTCTGCGTCCAAGGCGGACCTTGCCCTGGTGGCCGAGGCGCTCCCCAAGACTCAGTTGCAGGAGGCGCGTCGGGACAGACGTCGCGACGACAGATGTGGATACGACAGCGCCGATAGTGACATTCACCCCCAGATCATGTATAAAAACGATGTGAAAAAATATGGGGAGACATTTCAACATCAAAGTTTTTCTCACCGCTGTAGTGCGCATGTAGACACCAAAAAGAAGGCGCTGTACACTGGACCGCCGGGGACGTCCCCGCGACCGCCCTGGCGCTCCGCTTTCAGGGCCCGATTCCTGCGCGCCCCCTCTTGGCGTCAGGCTACGCCTGCCACGCCCTGCGACCCTGGAGCGGATAGAGACTGCGCTCAGGAACCACCCCTGCGCACCCTCTCTGGGTCGCGAAACTGCTGCACCTGACACGCCCTGCGACTTGGAGTTGATCGAGAGCGCGCTCAGGGACCACGCCATGCACATCCTCCGTGGTGCCGAAAGAAGACCGGGCGCGACGCCGCCGGACCCGTCAAGCACCAAAGGAGTATCTTCCAGGGGGGACTACTAAAACCATCATTTGAAGGGGCCCTGGGACACGCTAGTCACTTGACACAAAGAAGAGGATTCCCAACATCTTCTGGGTTTCTGTCTTTCCCCCCGCTGCCCATATTTTCTGGGGGATCGACGATTAACTGTGTCTGACTGTTTTTTTCCCTCCTGATCATGATTCGGCGGCGACATGATTGCAGTCGGGATCCCGCCTCGCTCCTCCTCCTTTTCGCTCGCCACGAGCTCACCAACATATGGCACACCGCGGCGACGACGACGACGACGACGGCGACGACGACGACGACGACGGCGGCGACGAGGATGCTTCCCGAAGCGGCGGAGGCTCTCAGCTCCCCTCCCCGACCATATAGGCATGACCGTATGCGAACGGACCCACAATTGCAAACGATGCATCCAAATACGAAGACCACCGACTCCAACACCCTCGCACCACAAACAGAGCACCCCTAAACACGCCGAGGCAACCGCAGGCAAAGCCCGACCGAACCATGGAACCTCCAGAAAGCGGGGCTCCATTGGTGGACCGCGCCAAACCACCATCCGCGAGCCCCATGAGAGCAGACGATGGCGCCACAAACCACTGACAGCCGCAAACGTCGAACCAACTACACCGGACTGGTGCACCCACCACCGAAAACAACGTCCCCCCCCCCATCAGCGCAGCATGGCTCACGGACGCGCAGCCAAACCCCGGCGATTACGCATTATGGGCTGGCGGAATGAGCGAAGCGATTAAATAATTGCAGTCGGGATCGGGGGGGTCTCAATACCCCAACCCCGGAGCGCGGAGCGCCCCAGTGGCGCCGCCGGAGGCGGCGCCAGGGGTGACCGAGGCTGCCCGGGACTCCTGCGGGGGGTTGTTGTGGCCTCCTCCTCCTCCTCCTCAGCCAGGACCACTCGGGGGGCCTGTTGCGGCCAGCTGGGACTACTGCCTGGGGGTGCTGTCTGCGCGCAGCCCGAGGCCTCACCAATCGGAGGTTTGGGCATCCGTCCCGTTCTTTTCTCCCTGGGGCCCAGGAGGCCAGGAAGCAGCAAGCCTGGACCCTCCATCCTCCACCCTCCCTATCCCCCCTTCCCTCCATCCTCGATCCTCCACCCTCCCCAGAGATCCGCTGTCGTGATTTTTCCGATACCTGGTCCCCGGAAGTCTCGACCCATTCCCCAGGACCGGCTTTTCACCCTGAGCCGTTTTTTGACGGTCCCGCGGCTCGGCGAAGGCACCTCGAGGCCGAACATGGCAACAAAAAACCTTCGGCTTGATATTTTCAAAACGTTGGATCTCTGGGTCCATCCTCGATCCTCGATCCTCGATCCTGAGCTGTAGGTTCGCTCTCCTTCCCCTTCTTTTTTCCTCCGCCGGGCGCGCGCGGCCGGCGCTGGCTGCGCCGCCCCGGCAGCGTCGCCGCCCGCCGCGCCGCCGGCGCGGCCAGCGCTGTCCGCGCCGTCGCCGGGGGGCAGCCGGAACGAGAGTGTCCGCGCCGCGCGCGGGCCGCGCTGGCCGCCATCCTGGGGCCTCTCCGCCCCCGCCTTGCCCGCCTGGGCCCTCTCGTCAAGCACCTTGCGGGAGGCAGCTGCTCGCAGGAAGGAGTGGAGGCCGATATAAGCCCTATCGAGGGCCACTCAGCTGGCTCAGCCAAAGGAAGCCCCAGATTGAGCCCAATGAAGCCGGATTGAGCGGGATTCAGCGGAACGAGGTGCGATTATGTGGGATTCGGCCAGTCGTCGGCCACGGATATATGCCAGCGCCGATGCCGAATGAAACCTCACAGAAGTTGCACCCTAAAGCGCCAGGGTCTGGAAGTCGTAGTCGTCGAAGCCGAGCATCACCGCCGTTCCCCCGAGGGCGCCGTGGGCGCGGTAGATCTCCCTGGCGAGGACGGCGCTCCAGACCTCGAAGAGGATCCTGTCCTCACTCCCTGCGCTCCCGCGCGCGCCCCCGAAGATGAACACGAAGAACCGCTCTCTTACGACCCGGTCGAGATCGACTATGCCTGACATCTGGTACAGGAAGCATAATCAGGAAGCAACGTCTGAAAGGCCTTCGCAAGCGCGAAAGAAGTCAGGAAATGTTGCATAGCATGTCGCGGCGGCAGCCCCAACGACACGGTATGCCTTGCATGCGGAGGGCGTTTCGTTCCGCTCCGGGGGGCGGCAGGCTGGGAAAGGCTGGGAACATGGACGCGTGGAACCAGGAAGTTCGGCACAACACGCTGTCCAACAGTTCCTGGCCGTGGGGGCTTGTTAAACACGATTGACGGTCCATTACGCCACTAGGCCAGATTAGGCCCTGAATTCAAGTGGATTGGCCGGATCGAACGGGATTAAGCGAAATGAAACTGGATTCTGCCTGATTGGGCCTGTTTTCGACTATGGATATACTTGCGCCGATGGTGACTTGAACCTTTCAGGAGTTGCATCCTAAGCATAAGATCTGCAAGAAACATCCCCACTCGAAACGTTCGGCCATCACGCAAGCCTGAACGGCCCGATACTTGATGAGGAACGCGTCGAAACCGAACAGGAGGCAACAACAACACACCGCAACGTACCTCAAAACTGGCAGGGCGATGAACATGCGACTCCTCAGGGAGCGATGCCTGATGGACCTTTCGATGGCTGTTCCGAGCTTCTGCTGTGCCTGAGATGGCATGACGGTTGGGGTGACACAGTGCAGCAGCCGCAAGAGGCTGAAGGAGGACACCTCTGGGACCGAGGTCCAGAACACGTCGGCGGTGTTCTTCCACCTGAGGTCAACGCAAGGATCCCTCTCCTCCTCCCAGTGCAGCCGCGCAGCCTCCCAACAGCAGCAGGAGGCGGGGAGGAGGGTAAGATGGGGAGGGGGATGCTTTCAAGTCTTCGGGGACGCACTGACCAGGGTCCATGCAAATCCTGGTCAGTCGGGCTTCGCAGGAACCTACAAGATCCTGCGCGCAAGCCCAAGACCAGTGCATCCCTGGCTCTTCAGGATCCTGCAAGGTCTGGCGCTCTGGCTGACGCCCTTTTTGCACTGACCCGCGTCCTCCTGCCCCCGCCTGCCCTGGTTGACAAGGCGTGCGAGATGTTTGGCCGTCCCCATCCCCCTTCCCCCTGCCCTGGGATCCTACATCGCGTTTGAGAGGAGAGGAGGTGGGGCGCGAACTCCTCAACGCACCCTCCGGGCCCTCAGGGCCACCAAATCCACCCTCGGGCGCCTCCTATGAGCCTGAGGTGCAACCAAGGGTGGCTCCAGAACGGACCCCGCACGGCTAAGGAACCTCAAGGTAACTCAAGAATTTGTCACTCCACATCTCCTAAGTAAGGGCTCCTTGTTTTTAGTGTCACGCCTTCGCTTCCTAACTCGCCCACCTCCCTCTCTCAGTGTCGCTCATCACCCAGAGAAGTCCATAGTTTTGACCCCCCCCCTGGAGCTGTCGGCGGTGAATCAACTGGCCCTCCCTCCTCCCTCCCTCCTCCTCTTCCTCCTCCTCCTCATGCTCCTCCTCTTGCTAGGGTCAAGAAGCTTTCTTGGAAGCGCTGGCGAGGCATAACTTTCTGACACCCCCGCTACCTAAGCTGAGAGGAGGAAAGGGAGGAGGAGGGGGAGGAGGAGGGGGAGGAGGAGGAGGAGGAGGAGGAGGAGGAGGCGGAGGTGGAGGAGAAGGAAGAGGAGGAGGAGCAGAGAGGGAAGAGGAGGAGGATGAAAAGGAGAAGGACGAGGCGGAGGAGGAGAAGAAGGAGGAGGAGGAGAAGGAGGAGGAGGAGAAGGAGAAGGAAGAGGAAGAGGACGAGGCGGAGGAGGAGAAGGAGGAGGAGAAGGTGAAGGTGGAGGAGGAAGAGGAGCAGGGGGCGGGAGGAGGAGAAGGATAAAGATGATGATGATGCTGATGATGATGATGCTGATGATGATGATGATGATGATGATGATGAGGAGGAGGAGGAGGAGGAGGAGGAGGAGGAGGAATTAGTTTCCCACCAATGCGCGCCGTGCTGAAGAATGGTGGACGCTTGTTTCTCCCATCGGACAGTGCCTCCTGGGCTACCCACCACGCGAAAGGAATGTAGGGCTTGTTCGTAGAAAGGTTTGCAATAAGAACCGATGCATCGTAGGAGGAGGGGAAGGAGGAAGAGGAGGAGAAGGATAAGGTGGAGGAGTATGCGGAGGAGGAGGAGGAAGAGAAGGAGGAGGAGGAGGAGGAGCAACTAAGGAGGAGGAGGAGGAGGAAGAGGGGGTAGGAGGAGGAGGAGGAGGAGGAGGAGGAAGAGGAATGAGTTTCCCACTAATGCGCGCCGTGTTGAATAATGGTGGACGGTTTTTTCTCCCATCGGACAATGCCTCCTGGCCTACCCACCACGCGAAAGGAATGTAGAGCTTGTTCGTAGGACGGTTTGCACTACGAATCGATGCATCGGGAGAGGAGGGGAATGAGGGAGAGGAGGAGAAGGAGAAGGTGGAGGGGTAGGAGGAGGATGAGGAACTAAGGAGGAGGAGGAGGAGGGGGGAGGAGGCGGAGGATGAGGGGGAACTAATTTCCCACTAGTGAGCGCCGTGCTGAATACTGATGGACGGCTGTTTCCCCCATCGGACAATGTCTCCTAGGCGACCCCCACGCGAAAGGAATGTCGAGCTTGCTCGTAGGAAGGTTTGCAATGGGAATCGAAGGATCGGAGAAGGAGGAGAAGGAGGAGGAGGAGGATAAGGATCAGGACGAGGAACAGAGCTCCTTGGCATGCATGTCGTGAGAGTGGTGTGAGCTCTTGAGCTTTCAGAGTAAAAGTTTCAGACCAATGAGCCGTTGAGGAAGTTCTCGAGGAATGAGCTTCAGAGCAATGAGTTTCAGAGCAATGAGCTTCAGAACAATGAGTTTCAGATCCATGAGTTTCAGAGCAATGAGTTTCAGAGCGATGGGTTTCCGAGCAGTGAGAGTTTCAGAGCAATGAGTTTCAGAGCAATGAGCCTTTGAGAGTTTCGGAGCATTGAGGGAGTTTTCGAGCAATGCGTTTCATAGCAATGATTTTCATAGCGATGATTTCCAGAGCAATGAGCTTCAGACCAATGAGTTTCAGAACAATGAGTTTCAGAGCAATGAGTTTCAGAGCCACGAGCTTCAGAACAAGGAGTTTCAGAGCAATGAGTTTCAGAGCCATGAGTTTCAGAGCAGTGAGGGTATCAGACCAATGAGTTTCAGAACAGTCAGCCTTTGAGAGTTTCAGAGCATCCTCCTTCTCCTCCTTCTTCCCCTCCTCCTACTCCTCCTCTTCCTCCTCGTCGTCGCTGGTGTTGTCGTCAGCGGCGGCGGCGGGGATAACAAAACTGTCCGTTGTTGTCGGGGCCCCAGCCCGTCAATAATGTCGCCAGAAAACTATGTTGTTTCCCGCTGTTGCGGTTTTTGTTTAAGACTCTTGGCGGCTACCGAGACTCAATCACAGAAATAGTCACTCACACTCAGACCAACCACTCATACTCTGACTCGCTCACTCGCAGACTCACGAATACTCACACTCACTCATAATGAGGCCCACTCGCGCACATACTCAGACTCACTCTCACTCAGATCACCCATACTTCGTCACTCATACTCGGACCCACCCATATAAAACTCACTCGTGCTCAGCCCCTCTCACATTGAGACTCGCACTCACACGCAGATTCGCACATCCTCTTGCTCAGCTGCACATAGTCTTACTCATGCTCATGATCGCCGCGATATAGCAAGAATCGCACTCGGGCCCCCAAAGGAGTACCTACCAGAGTATAGCACAGGCCCTTGCACGCACAGACTGATGGGACTTCTCGAGTCCCATGGCCGCTCTGCAAGGTAGACGGGTCTCTTTTTCGGAGCTCCATGATCGCCGCGATGTGGCAGGCTTTGAGTTTGGGCCTCCCGATTGGGGAGTCATCAGGCATGTAAAGTGCGGGCGCGCCCGCAAGAAACCTTCGCAAGAAACCAAGCCCTGAAAGCCCGCGCGCGAGGTGCGCCTGAGGGAACACCGCGGAGCAGCTTCTTTGACGGCGGCGGGAAGTCACAGCGCAGCGCGCGGAGCGAAGCAACCAGAGATCCCCTGACGAAAAGCATATGGTTTCTTGATGCGCGTCCCCGCTGCATATCACGGGCCCATCCGCGCGCAGATGTACACGGCCCCCCCAAAGGAACGGCTGCTTTGCAGGGATTCGGCGCGCCTCAATGCAAAGCCCCATGGCCACCGCAATGTAGCCTTAAGTCGGGCGTGTCCCCTACGGGGGGATTTTGGCCGAAAAATTAAGAGTACCCCAGAAATGCTCAAAAACATGCTCACGAATAGTCAAAATATAGTCCCCAGACTATTATTTGACTATTTTTTTATACTCCCCCGTAGAGGGACAAGCCCGACTTATATATATATATATATATATATATATATATGTATATATATATATATATATAGCCGTCGTGGACCTCGGGCCTCTCCAGGGGGGGGACCAAGCCCAGGGTGTACATCCTGGGCCTGTTCGCGCTCCTCTTGGCGGGGCCGCTCGACCGGCATGGCAGCCTTTGGGGGGTCGCCTCGTCTCCGCGCAGCGCCCCACGATGCCACCACGATGCAGCAGCCGTCGCGCTCGGGCCTCCCGACCCGTCTCGGCTCAGGGTCCCACTGCCACCACGATGTAGCAAGCATCGCGCTCGGGCCTCCCGGCTCGTCTCGGTTCCGGGTCCCACTGTCGCCGGGATGCAGCAAGCATCGCGCTCGGGCCTCCCAACGGGGGGGGGGGCCTGGCAGGGGGGTTGCATCACGGGCCCGTTCGAGCCCACAATGGTGGGACCTGTCAGGCAGGATGACCGTTCTGCGCCGGTAGACTCGATTCCTTTCAGAAACCGTTGGTCATTGCGACGTAGCGTGCATCGCACTCGGGCCTCGTAAAGAACCCAACCGGGCGTATCACGGGCCCATTCGCGCCCACCTCCTTCCCCTTCCTCCCCTTCCTCCTCCTCGTCCTGCTCCTCCTCCTCCTCCTCCTCCTCCTCCTCCTCCTCCTCCTCCTCCTCCTGAGAGGTTGGACCTCTCAAGCCGACTGGCTATTTGTCGGAGGGAGGTGTGGTTTCCATTGGCGCCCCCGGACAACCGCGATGCAGCCAGGCATCGCGCTCGGGTCTGCCTGCTCACTTATTTGTTCCCTACCAACAGAAAAGCTGTTGCAACAGCCATGAAGGTGGAGTGTTGGGTTTTTTTGTTCAGTCCTTCTGGAGCCCAGGAGGCCAGAAAACGTCCTGTCACGATCCTCCTCGATCCTCCATCCTCGATTTCCCCTCCCTCCTCGGTGAGAGGAATTGACGGGGGGGGACCAATTCAGGTGGGGATAAATCGGCGGTATGCCTCCGATTTCGAATCCGATCGTTCCTGGGCTGGTTGAGTGGGTTATCGGGCCCCTATCGGCGACGAGTGTGCGATTGGGGGTCGATGTGATCCCCCCTGAGCCTATGGAGCCGAGCTGGATGAGCCTGTGGAGCTTTTGGCCCTCCTCCGTGCTCGGCGTTCCTCTCTTCCTCCCCCTCGTGCCTCATGCTCTTACTGCTCCAGCTCCTCCTCCTCCCCCTCCTTCTCCTCCTCCTCCTGATCCTCCTGATCGTCTTCCTCCTTCACCTCTTCATGCTCCTCGTCGCCCCGACCTCCTCCTGCTCCTCCTCCTCTCCTGATCCTTCTCTTCTCGTCCGCCTCTCTCCACCTCCTCCTCTCCAGGCGTGGGAGGCTCGTCCTCCTCGCCTTCGACGTCGCCGTCCTCCTCCTCCTCCTTCTCGTCCTTCTCCTCATCCCTTCCGGGCGGGGGGGGGGATGGGAGCTGAAACACTGTTTCACCAACAGCAGAAACCCAACAAACATACAGAAACAGAA